CTAAGACCCACCATTTTCTTTAATAAAATAAAAATGGCGTCAAGTAGGTTGACTCTGCACTTCCTACGCAACGCCGTCATTAGTTCACAAAGGATTAAGTTCAGCAGAAAAGAAACTCTCTGAGAACATGTACAATAGGGAAATTAAACGGATCAAGTCAGTCAAACAGGCGTACAGTTAGTCTATAGATAGATAGATAGATAGATAGTTTATTGTCCTATTAGATCATGTTACATGATATAAGACTTGTCAGTATCAATTTGAGGGTCATATATGCGTTTGAGCAAATATGCCAGAAAAATACTTATAATTATAAAATAAATAAGGACATTACAAAACATTTTAAAATGTTAAATCACATTATAGGTACAGGTACAGTGCAAGAATCGTAATGTGTGCAATCTATAACGGTAAAAATATACTAAGTGACATATAAATCCGAACACCCAGTTCAAATGGTTTTATTTTAATAAAATTTTGTATAAGTACTTAATGAAGCATAATAAGTAAATGATAAAAATTTCAAAATGATTACACTGCTTTAAAGCCCTTTGACCTTTAATAATGTGTGGATGCACTCTGATGTGCTACGCATTCTCCAACGCGCCTAGGCATGCTTCTGATCAGGTGGTCAATGTCCTCCTGTAGTATCTCATTCCAGGCAACCACCAACTCCTCTCGAAGTGCTTCTAGAGTCTGAGGAGGACGTCGCAAATTGAGCAATCTCCTACCCATTAGAAGTCTATTGTGACTCTTGCAACATATGGTCGGGCATTATCTTGTTGGAAAGTTGGATCTGCCAGGGTGTCAAGATAGGGTAAAAGATGGGGTTATATAACTTCGTGGATATAACGCTGCGCGTTCATGTTACCTCTGATGAAGATTAAAGGTGACCTGGAACCATAAGCTATAGCACCCCAAACCATAACTCCAACAGTGTGATGAACATGTCTTTCAACAAAAAACTGTGGATTCCTCCTTTCACCACGTCGCCTTCTAACCCTGACACGACCATCGTGCATGCCTAAACAAAATCGAGACTCGTCACTAAAGACAATACTGTTCCATTCCTGATCCCAGAGTGACCTTTGTCTGCACCACTCAAGGCGATTACGTCGGTGTTCTCGAGTTAAAGAGAGGACCCAGTGTGGCCGGTATGAGAACAAGCCAAAACTTCTCATTCGTCGGTAAACACTTCGCATGCCAATAGGTCTTCCGTGTTCTGCAAATCATTCATTTGCAATGGACCTGGTAGTGGAGAAACGGTCCCTTAAGGCCAATAATCTTAGGCGGCGATCTTTACGGTCAGTTGTTCTACGGCGGCGTCCAGTGCCCCTTGCTCTTTGCGTACGGCCTTCTCGAAGCTATGCCTGACAACACCTAACCACAGTGTCTTCACTTCTTTGCACTGTAACTGCAATTGCCCGAAAAGAAAGTCCAGCTTCCCGAAGTCCCACTATACACTATCAAACTCACTAAGTTGACGAAATCGTACAGGTCTCCGTGCTCTAGGCATCGTAACCGATCGTAAAGGATGTCAAGAACCAAAATCCGCCAACGTTGATTCTTTACTGCGGCTGAAATATTCATTTTTAGAGCGTTAGTGAATTAAAAAAAAGCAGTATAAAAACCGGAATGTCCAACTGATAAGGCTGAACATTTTTTCACTTGTTATTTACAGTAAGATAAATACATTCACCAACTTTTATTAAAATAAAACCATTTAAACTGGGTGTTCGGATTTATATGTCACTTAGTATATATACATATACAGCGACTTTTTTTATCACAAAAAATGTTCGTAAAGCCGGTACAAATCATTGAAGCTGATACAAAGAAAAGAAAAGCGGTAGAAGAATCTGTTAGAAATACATAATACGCAATAAACATCGAGCAGTGAGGACAAATGGTTGAAAGCTTAAAAAGAAAACATACATACTTTCGTTAAAACTCGAATAAAAAGTGAAATTAAAATACATTTACTCCACGATAATAGACAATTCACTGATAACGAAATGATTAACAGCTTAAAAGAATTTAAAAAACAGATACTTTCATGTGTTAGTAAAACTCATGTAGAGTAATAGCATTTTTCAACCAGATATTTCCTGAGATGTTTTTTCAGCGCAAGGATATTAGTGCTTCTCCGCAACTCACTCGGCAGATTATTGTATACCTTAGTGCACGCTAGAGTGGGAGATTTTTGGAATAGGACAGAGTTATGTGTCGGTATACTCAGATCATGCCCTATTCTAGTGTTGTATTGACTATTAATGGCGTTGTTACGAACAAATCTATTGCTATGTTCAAATGCGAAGATGGCACATTTGTAGATATAGATGGAAGTTAATGTAAGCAGATTGAATAATCTGTTAATCATTGTTGCCTGTCCCCATATGATTATATTGTTAGTGAGGTGAGAATAAACTAGCGGGTAGTACATATCTAAGAGTGAGTTTAGATGGATGTTAGGCTTTAATTTCAATATTGCAAAATAAGCACTGTTAATTTTGTTGCAAATGTGATTTACTTGTGGTTGCCAGCTTAACTTACTATCAACATGAGTTCCTAAGAAGACAGTTTGATCTGAAAAGCTATCAATATCCATGCGTGGTTTCTTGTTGAAGAAATGAATTTCAACAGTCTTATCTTCATTCCAAATGAGGCGGTTAGACTGGCACCACTTGCTCATTTCACTTTTGACTTTCTCAATAGATTCGAGAAGATCCTGCGGTGTCGTGGCATTGACGACGATAGATGTGTCATCCGCATAATTAATCACGAAGCCAGATAATTTCAAGTCATTTATGTATACAATGAAGAGCAGTGGTGCAAGTACTGAGCTTTGTGCCGCACCTATATTCACGGAATATTGAGTTGACGTATGACCATTGACCTTCGTTTTCAATTTTCTATCTGTGAGGAAAGACTGGATCCAGCTGAGAATAAAATCCCTTATACCTAAGCAGTACAATTTTTCCACGATAAACGAAATATCCATTATATCGAATGCTTTCGAAAGGTCAAAAAATAGTCCAGCAACGTATCTGTGTTCGTCTACTTCTCTATATATAATGTCTAAACCCATGCTGGGTATCTGATAAGACATTATAGCGATTGAGAAAACATAATATACGTTTATACAGACATTTTTCAATGACTTTAGAGATCATCGATAAAAGTGATATTGATCTGTAGTTTTCAAGGTCTGTACGGTCACCCTTTTTGTATACGGGAATAACAATAGCTAGTTTCAAGCATTTCGGGAAATTACCTTGCTTCACTGATTTATTAATAAGGACTGATAGGGGGGAAGATATTTCACGTTTCACAAACTTTATCACACGCGTTGAAATTCCATCATTTCCACTGCTTCTTTTATTTGGAAGGCTGCTGATTCCTTCCACGATCTCTTCAGTGGTGACATCCTCGTAGAACATTGATGATGCTACCCGATTTTGTGATGGACATCTTGATGGGTTGTCACATTTAAAGTGTTCTGCTAACTTTCTCTCTGCTATTGTGGAAAAACACTTGCAAAACTTGTCGGGTACGAGGGTGTCAGTAAATTCTTTGTCTTCATTTTTCAGCACTATTTGATGATGTTTCTTTACTCTTCCGGTTTCTTCATTGACTATTTCCCATATTTTTTTAGCTTTGTTGTTGCTGGATTTTATTAGACTACTTTAATACTCTTTTTTTGTTGGAGAAATTAATTTCTTGTGTTCTTTCTTGTTTTCAATGTACTGCTGTCTCATACTTACATTGTCTTCATGCCTTTTCACCAAATTGTGTAGTTTTCTTAGATCTAGGCTGGACTGCTGGATTTTTGGCGTCACCCACGGTTTAGATTTCTGCTTTTTGTGTCATGTTTTATGCCTCTGGGGACATTTCAAATCAAAATGCCACAAAAAATTGTTGAGAAACCGTTCAAATTCTGCATCGATATCGTCCTCGCCAATATTCCGGTTTTCCTGAGCTAAGCTAACTTTAAGATGATTTAAATTATCGTCATTTATAGGCCTTGTCATGAGCAAGTGGTTGTCTTGATTTTCGAGGTTGTCGTGGGATGCATGAGAGAGCGAAAGAAGTTGTGCAGTGTGGTCTGAAATGTGGGGTTCAAAGATTGTACATGTCAATTGCCTGGGTCTGAAGTTCGTTATGATATAATCTATTGATGTACGTGTCATTATGTTATTTTTGTTCACTGCAGTGCGAGTAGCACTATTACAGTGATTTATCATGTTGTAGGCATTCTTTCCCAGCTATAAAGGTAGTTACCGCAGTAGCGGAAGAATCAAGTAGACCGTTGTGCCGGGCTCTGAGCCCAGATAGCAGAGGGACACGCGTATCGAAAACTTTCACTGAGATTCAACGTTTCAATTACCGGAGTTCTCATCATACAAATATACTAACATCAAAAAGTAGAGATATACCCTCCCCTCTCCCTACAATTCCCCATCACCAAATTTTTGGATCTTTTCAAAAGTGACCAGGATTCTCTAAAACGTCAAAAACCACGTTTGAGCGATTTTTATTTTTTTTTCACTTTTCATTTTTCTGAGCCACCGATGTTCCAGTAACCCTGAGTAAAAATTGCATCAAAATCCAAGCAGTGCGTCCCTTTTTTCACAAAGGGGCGTATATCATAAGAAATGTCAAAATGTGTTTGTTTTATTGGCGTTTATGCACTCATAAAAGGTATACTATTACCACACAAAGTGGCGTATATGCACGATAAATAGTCCAGAAGATGCATTGAAAAATAATTTTGGCGTATAAGTGAAAAGCATCTATCGCCGCACTTCAAACAGGCGTATACTGTTTGTCGCAAAAAAATTTCTACAGTCTTGTCGAGACTCGCAAGGCGTATACTGATATACGCCTGTTTGTGATGTTTGGTTACTCATTTTTAACCTTAAATTGCGTGCCGGTTATTTCTTACATGGTGTGATTTGTATGGATTATTTGATTAATAGTTCCCACATTAATTGAAAAAAATGGATGTGCTAGTGGAGTGGAGAAACGGAAAAAAATATAGTTGCATCAAGTGGGTTGTTGGCAATAAAAAAAGGCATTCAAAAAAGATGTTGGTGTTAAGATGTACTACTCAAAGAGATGGTACTATGGTAAAATTATTGATCTTTGGCAAGTAGATGGTATTGAAACGGAAAATCAACCACATGTAGTAGAGAAGAAAAAGAAAAAATAACAAAGGGTAAGTTTTTAAAACATTTCAGTACACCTAGAAATTATTTAAAAAATGAAATGTTAACTTCTAGATACAGCAGACCCGATTTCAATGCCGATGCTACTGAGCAAAGTGTATCTTCAGATAAAAATTCAGATTCTGATATTCCGCTAGCACGACTTTTGAAAAAGAGCGAAACACTTGTTGAAAGAAGTGAAGAAACTGAGAAAGGAGCTGCGAATTTGAAAAACAAAGGCAAGGATTTTTGCTGTCTATTTCCTTAAACTATATTTAAAATACTTATCTTATGATTCCAGGATTATAAATTTACCATAGCAATGATAGTAATGTTATAAGGTCGCGCGACGACTCAGATTATCTGTCAGATGACCCTCTTTTGATTTGTCAAAACCGTAAAATAGCACAAATAATAAGACTGTCACAAAAAAAAGGAAGGGTAAAAATTCTAGAGAATGTGAAAATACCAATTGTTCAGACGAGATATTCAGCAGTTGTCATAAGTGTAGTGCACTTTTATGCTATGATCACTTTATGTAAGATCCGCTGGATTGCCTGTCCCATACCTCGAAAGTATAGAAAATTTACGTTTACAAGATGTTTGTCAAGATGTTGCGCCCCGAGTTTTAACCACTGGAAGTTACTTATGTGTTAAAAGAAAACCTGAAGACTATTTAGTTGATGGGTCAAACAAAGAATCAGAAGAAAGACATTTGAAGAAGGATTCGTGTAGAGCGACGAAACAAAAGAGGTATTCTGGGCAGGCCTACATCATACCAAAGTCGATGAACTCAGTACCCCCTAAACAAGTTGTTGAAAAATGTAATAGCAAGTACTGTACACTTCACAACAAAAAATGTGTCATCTTTACTGAAAACCAAAGAGAAATTATAATGAAAGAGTTTTACTCATTGGGAAAATTAGAACTGCAAAGAGAATTTATCTGCCGCCATGTAGTTAAGGAGGAATCCAAGGTGAAAAAGGGAGGATCCAAAAGGCAACTTACATACCGTTATTTTCTTACATTAAATGGCGTTCTCCTACCTGTATGTAAGAATTTTTTTCTAAAAACTCTGGCAATCTCCGAAAAGATGAGGACTTCCTTATCTAAGCTTTCAGTATATGGTACCGTTGAAAAAGAAAAGAGAGGAGGAAGAAGAAGGTGTTTACAAGAAAGAGATCAAGCAATCAATTCTGATATGAGGGCGCATATTTTAAGATTTCCCAAAGTGGAATCACACTATTGCAGGGAAAAATCGTCACGGCAATACCTCCACTCAGAACTTAATTTGGTTAAGATGTACGAAATGTATAAGCAAGAAATAACAGAACAAAAAAAGGATAACAACAATATGTTGTTGACTGTGCTGTCGATGTCCTGGGTCTCAGTGAGACTTGGCTAACCCCAGATATTGATTCCTCCTCAGTATTTATCAACGACTTCAATGTCTTTAGAGCAGATCGAAATAGCAGAGGCGGGGGCGTCGCGTTTTATGTGAGAAATGGTATTGCCTTCAAAATATTGCAATCTAATATCACCGCAGTATTGGAAGAACTTTGGATCTCTGTAAAGGTTAATCAACGCAAATATTGTCTAGCTATAGTCTACCGTCCACCATCGGTAAACGTGCTTGACTGTTTACATCAATTAACTGAGTCTTTAACCAACCTTTCACTCGATAATGATTACGCAATTGTCATGGGCGATTTTAATATTAATGTTTTAGTGAACGACGGCCGATCCGAGATGCTGAGCTGTTTTCTTGAGTCTTTTGATCTGTCTCAGTTAGTGAAAGAGCCCACACGTATAACTTCCAATAGCCAGACAGCTATAGACTTGCTCATGGTTAGCTCTGCTGATATAATAAGTGGTTATGAAGTTGTTGACGTAGATGGAATATCTGACCATCTAGCCCTAATATTTTATGTAGATGCATCGGAGATAAGCAACCTATGTAAACTGAGGACATATCGTGATTACTCTACCTTTAGCCTAGACAATTTCTACCATGATTTACTTTTAATAAACTAGGATTTTATATATACGTTGAGAGATGTGGATCAAATGATTGACTCTGAGCTCTAATATCTTGTGCACCTTCAACTTGCATGCTCCTGTCAGAAACATTCGAGTTACCAAGCCACCAGCTCCTTGGCGAACATTCAACATAAAACTCATGATGCGAACAAAAAGTGACGCATATAAAAAATTTAAACGTACAGGAACGATTGCTGCCTGGGAATTCTATAAGAAACTCAGAAATTATGTTTCTAGTGCTATTAGGCGAGAGAAAAAAGCCTACCTCGATTATGTTATGAGACATAAAAATTCGAAGACTACATGGAATATACTTAGATCTTTGAATATCGTTAAACATAACTCCATAAGTCTACCTCCACATCTTCAGGATCTCGATTCATTAAATAGTGCTTTTTTAAACGTACCTCAAACAACCAAATCATTAACTCAATTGAACCTTTTAGACAAATATGAAAACGTCAAGAATAGTGGTACTTTTCTGTTCATGACAGTTTCCCCTGCCACTGTAGAGAAATTTATCAATCGCATCAAAAGTCATGCTAAAGGCTCAGATGGCATCACAATTGATATGATCCGTATAATGCATAAGCATTTGCTCAAGTATATTACCTTCATTATTAACTTTTGTATAACAAATAATCTTTATCCCTCTTCCTGGAAGAATGCTCTTGTTCTCCCTCTGCCTAAATCTAATTATCCTTCAAGTTTTTCTGATCTTCGTCCTATAAGCATTTTACCAAGTTTATCTAAGCTTTTGGAAATGGCTCTACATGAGCAGCTGCACACATTTGTTTGTCAAAATAATTTACTGACCACCTCCCAATCTGGCTTCAGACCATTACATAGCACCACCACTGCGCTCCTGTCTATATCGGATAATATTTATAGCGCGGCTGATCAAGGAAAGCTGTCCTGCTTAGTTCTTCTTGATTTTAGCAAGGCCTTCGATACGGTTGACCCAAATATTCTCTGTAAAAAGCTTAGATACTTTGGCCTGTCATTATCGGCTTGCACGCTGATTAAGAGCCTTTTAACTGATCGCTCACAGTATATCATATATGAAAACAATATATCAACTTCTTTATTCAGAAATTTTGGTGTCCCTCAGGGATCTATTTTGAGTGCCCTTTTATTTGCTCTTTATATATGTGATTTTCATGAAACCGCCAGCAACTCAATCGTTCATCATTACGCCGATGATACCCAACTTTATAACTGCTTCGATCCTGATGAATATATGCTTGGCCAACATCAAATAAATCAAGACCTGCAGTCTATTTTTGACATATCTAGTGCTCACAATCTAAAACTAAATCCTGGCAAATCATGCTGCATTTTATTTGGGCCCAAAAAGAATCGTGAAATAAATCAATATCGCATTAATATTATGATGAATAATGAAGACATATCCTTCGTAAACGAATGCAAAAACCTTGGTATCTGGTTTGACTGCAAGCTACGCTTCACTAAACATGTTAACCAACTATGCAATGCGTCCTATAATGTGCTTCGTCAGTTATACCCGAGTCGAAGTGTCCTGTCGACACAGCTCAAGCTTAAACTCTGCGAGTTCCTTATCCTGTCAAAATTATCTTACGGTGACTCTGTTTATGGACCTGCTCTTTTACAACGTGATGCCGAGCGGATTCAGATGATACAAAACTCATGCATCAGATTTTCTTATGGAATCCGTAAATTTGATCATATTAGTAGCGCTTTTGACCAATCGGGATGGTTTAAGATGAACAAATTGAGGAAACTGCATTGCCTATCTCTGGTACATAAGACCCTTATCCTTAAAGCGCCATATTATCTTTATACAAAACTAAGCCTCCTCTGCCAGTACGATCAAAGATCCTCTAGGAATAAACTCATCTTACTTATCCCGCGGCATTCGACAGCATTGTTCACACGCAGTTTCTCGTACTGGGCACCCAAACTATATAACTACTTATCAAGTGAGTATAAAGAATATAGCCTAAGCAATTTTAAAAAAAGGTTAAAGATGAGTTTAAAGCAGTCGGATGGCTAAAATTTTACTTTATGCATATCCACAGGTAATTGATTGTTTCCTTTCTCTGATAAGTGTTATATTCTAAGCTTTTTTTTTCTCTCTCTCTATAGTTTGTGTCAATGTTTTCCAGGTCGGGTTGAAAAACAGCATAAGCTGACACTCCACCTTTTCGTCACTGTTCCTTTTAAACCAATTATTTTGTAATCGTGTGACGAATAAAGGCCATTTATTATTATTATTATTATTATTATATAGGAAGTTTGGCTACTTACAGAAGAATATTTGATAGTATGAATTTATCATTTCATAATCCAAAAAAGACCTTTGCACTTTATGCGCAAGGATACATGAAACTGCCGACAGTTTAGTCGATGAAATATTGAAGAAAGACTACGAGTCGCATATCGCAAACAAAAACAAAGTTCGTGAAATAAAGAGAAACCTTAAAGAGATGGCTATAAAGAACTCAAAACGTTTATGTGCGGTATTTGATTTGCAGCAGGTAATTCATCTACCCATTAGTAAAGAAAGTGCGCTTTTCTACAAACAAGGATTAAGCGTATACAATTTTACAGTGTATAATATCGCAAACATAGATTGCCAATGTTACACATGGCATGAGGGTCAGAGCAAGAGAGGCTCATCAGAGATTTCAACATGCCTTTTCAAGTTTTTAGAAATTTACGATAAAGAAGGTGTAAAAACTGTAGCTTTCTTTTCTGACGGGTGCTACGGCCAAAACAAAAATTCAGTCACACCTTCAATGTATCTTTATTTTTTGTCGAAAAGCAAAAATATTGAAGTCATAACTCACTATTTCTTTGAGAAGAACCATGGCCAAAGTGAGGGTGACTCAGCTCACAGTGCCATTTCAACCTCAGTGAAAAAGGTAGGGGATGTCTTCATTCCTAGCCAACTTGTACTTGTTTTTAGACTGGCTAGAAAGAAACCCCCTTACATAGTAAATGAGATGCAGTACGAGGACTTTTGGGATTTTAAAATGTTGTCTCAAGGCCTAAGGCCATTAAAAAAGATGATCATGGAGAAGCATTTAAGTGGTCAGAAGTAAGCCAAATAAAAGTGGAAAAACATAATCTAGAAGCAATTTTATTTAAAACAAATCATCATCAGGACTCCTTCAGACGTATTTCCCTACAGAGAAATGCTAATGCAAGCAATATTAATCTTAAACCATTAAATATAAGTGAACTAAAAATTCCTGAGAAGAAATACGGTTCGTTAATATCTCTGTGTGAAGGAAAGAAGCCTATTATTAGGCAAGACGTTTACAAAAAATTTATTATAATCTAAACCATTAAGTATACCTAATGAATGTTTTGTATTTTTGTTTTTAGTTAT